AATCCACACAAACGTGATTCTAACTATATGTGTACTACTTCAAAGAGAAAAAAGTGCTCTTTGGGAGAGGTTTAAAACAGCGTCAAAATATTTAGTTTTTATTTCTAAACATAACAAATGCATTTAAAAGCTTAGAGCCCCCCAGTGACACAGCGGTATGTCTGCAGACTTACAACGCTAGAAACCGGGTTCGATACTCGTGGTGGGCAGAGCACAGATAGCCCATTGCGTAGCTTTTTGCTTAATTACAAACAAACAATTAAAAGCTTAGATGAACTTACACTTCCTGAAATAGTTAAAAACACCAAAACCCAAGACGTTAGGTACCAATAAACCTCAGTTAATAATAGATTACGAGAAGTAAAAAAAGTTTAAAGAGATGTTGCCTAAAATAATTGTCATCCTAGCATTTAATTAAACTTAATAAAGATGTTAGTCTTCCATGGTGTCAGAAGTAATAAAAAAAAGTTTTGATATCAGATTAATAAACCTGGGAATTCTCGATAGTTTACGTACGACAGTGAGATATTAAAAAAAACTTATGGTTTCTCTTAATGTGAAGTAGAACACATACAGTTAGAACCACATTTGTTTAAATCGAAACACTTATGGATTCTCTTAAGTTGAAGTAATACACATATAGTTAGAACCACATTTGTTTAAATTGAAACACTTATGGATTCTGTTAAGCAGTCATTGCAGGTTTATGGGTTTTGCCGAATTTGTCTGATATATTTCACGATATCTTTTCAAATATGATAGAAGTTGTTATTTGTTTTCCAGTCCTGTCAATAGTGCGTGCCTTCTCCAATTTATCTTGTCATCGTCTGGTATTTTTTTCTGTGTTTATGATGACTAAGAAGTAAAGAACAGTTTATCAGCTGTGTTTCGTGCACATTTATTTTAGGGTGGATGTCAGAGAGAGTATATAATTGACGGAGCTTGTTCTCTAATTTCCACATCCACAGATAAATTTGGACACAAAAAGATAACTAAACTTGTTGAATATACGCTATCGGTTGGCACAAACAAACTAAAAAGTCTACTTGTTCGCTTTGCTAAGTTGGTTTTTTTTTTCAATATCTAGCCGTGAAACGTAGATCTTGGCATTTTGAAAAACCCTGTATGATGCTTTTACAGCAAGTACTGAAAACATTATTAAAGAAATAAACAGTAATGTTATTTCATGGATATCTTAATACTTATTTCATACTGACAGAATTGTTTTCTAATTCAAATTTGCAGACGCAGCGTACATTATTCATTCTATGTTACTTCCGTTTTAAGCGGACTTCCGTTTAATAAGAAATCGATAATTTTATTAATTATAACGATAGATGTTGTTTAAGGCTTGATCAGATGTATTCTCTGCTATTTTAATAAGCATTTATTCCATCAACAGACTGACATCCAATTTCATATTTCGAAGTCCATAAATACTAGAATGTTCTTTCTATTTGACACTACAAATTAAATGTTAATGGAATAAGTTCAAGTCCTGACTATGAAAAATATTCAATTTACTATCATTTAAAGCGATAGAAAAAAACAAACTCAGGAAAGTGAATGGCTTAATGGAAAATTATTTTCGACGTTAAATATACTTGCGTAAGAAACACGACCGTAAATGTCAACCAACCACCATAACTGCAAAACCATGTTGAATTTTACAGTTCTGAGAGAATAACGTCTACCAATCACAGAGTATAACAGCATTGGCAGAACAATATCTACCAATCACTGAATCTCGCAGCATTGGCAGAACAATATCTACCAATCACTGAATCTCACAGCATTGACAGAACAATATCTACCAATCACTGAGTCTCGCAGCATTGGCAGAACAATATCTACCATACACTGAATCTCACAGCATTGACAGAACAATATCTACCAATCACTGAGTCTCACAGCATTGACAGAACAATAGC